CAATTTGTCATGTTTTTTTAAACTTTTTTCTGAAATATTTTTAACTATCTTAGAAATCACACAAGCCAATGAGTTTTTATTTGTTTGCTCAGTTAAACTACGCTCAATACAATCATTTAGACAAAAATCGTATCGTGCAAAGTCTGATGAAAACGGTGAATACAGCGTTATATCGATACTTCTCTGTAGTAAATAATTCATAATATACGCATGAATATAATGTCGAGCATTTGTCATGAAATAATTCTATACCTTTTACACCTGATGACTTTCTTTGTTTCCATATGTCATTGACAACAGGCTTTTAGGCAATTTTTTATATAATAGTTGAGATCTATACTCTCATCTTTATCTACCCTATGTTTCATAACAGGATCATTTGATTTAAAGAATATAGAAAACAAAGTTTATGATTGAAATCTACTTCGACAAGCAATAGTCGTTTGTGATTCGCCTTTACTAATCCAGCTTGCGTTAGTTTACTTGCGTCCAACGTGACTATGATAAATCCATATCTCATCACTTGTAATAATATTACATAATCGTCATGATCCATGATAAGATTTCGCCAAATTTTCACGACAAATCGCAGTTCGTTCTTGCTTTTGTTTGTCATTGAGCTGATGAGTCATCCAAGATGATCTAATTTTTCTCACCTTTAAACAATCGTGGATCATTTTAAGCACCCAAAAATATGAAAATAAATACGATTTCTATTGAACGATCAAAGAATGTGTGTTGCTATGAGTGTTAGTTTTCTCTAGGTATTTACCAGGATTCGATAGCAGAATTTCAATATTTCAAATTTATCTCCTTGATTATTAACTATGTCAATAAACTTTCGGCCGTATATATAGCATGATATATGCCTAAAACAATCGAATAGACAATAATCCAATGGGTCCCTTTTGGTTTAATTGGAGATCGAAAGGAAACTGAAAAGAAACAACTCCAAATCAAATCTGATTCTATTGGGTTTGGGTTTTTATTGACTCTAGCACGTCGTCTAACAATGTTGTCAAAATCCCTATTTTGACAATCTCTAGTATGATTCTGCTGCTTTAATTTTCTATTGACTAAAAGAGATTGTCACATCTTTCAATAGATCAGCGCATTTTTCTTCATTTACACAAAAACACCTAAATCGTTCGGGTACATGTCAAGTCTTATTTTCCTTTCCAATCACATCGATACCTAAACCAGCAGACCACACCACTCATTTTCATTTTTTTCATGCATGCTTAACTTTTCGGTGTTGAACTTTCCTTGTACTTAAGTATTTAAGCCTCAGTTTCCTTACTCATCGTTTCGGTTGCCAGACCCGATTTATCACAACTGAATTAAAAATAAATATTTATTTTATATTATTCAAGTATTTTTTTAATAATATATATGTTTTTTGCATACTCAGCAGCATTGTTTCGAATTGTAATGTTGTATGACGACTTAAATGTTTCATTTAACCTTCTCATTATCTGTTTTAAATATTACAAAATACAATAATATTCATACATAAAAAAAGAAAAAAAAGACATACTTCATTGATAATAGCAGTTTTACTGTTACAATTGACTCTAAGGAGGAACGTTCATTCTCCAACAAGATCTTGTCTGTTAAAAGTATTTAATATAAGTTTAAAGAAAAAAGAACTTTTGTTAAACAAATATATTACCTAGTTCTGGAAAAAGTCGATTTGTACATATTCCTCCATTATAATAATCTGTATTAGATGGATAAATACAATCCTATATTTCTGTCGAGAGTTGAATAAGTGTTGATGAATTATTATAATGACAGCTAACATGTGATGCAAAAATCTCAGGAAAAATGTCAACCTATGTTAGACAATATTACCAACTTCTAAATCAATCAATGTGTTTCCTGGAAAGAGCAAAGTCTGTATTTTTTGCCAGACTTATTCTTTCTGAACGAACCTATGAAGTAGAAGAAGATAAAAACCAAACACATCTAAAATAGGTTTTGCAACGTTTGTTCAACTTGACAAGTTTCTATTTTGCTTTTGATATAAAAAAAATGAAAAGAAAAATAGAAAATGATATTGCGTGAAGATGAAGTTGCAAGTACTTTTTTTAAGAGGTGTTTGGCTTTTGACTTTTCTACTTTGCAGATTCGTTCAGAAAAAACAAGTCTGTCAAGAAATTTGTAGCTCAGATTTTGCTTTGTCCAGTAAAATAATTTGATTGGTAAAGAAGTTTGCAATATTGTTTAACCAAGGTCAACATTTTTTCCAAGACTTTCGCATTGCATGCTAGATGTTTAGTAATTATATATTTTTTTTTATTTATTAATACAATTCAATGCATAATCAAGATGTGTTCCATGAGAACAACTACAAATACATCCTTTTTCATCAACGAAACAAATACCATTTCAACGATAGTTTAAACAAAACGTATTTAAAAAAAAAATTTATATCAAGTTTGATCAATACGTTGAATATTAAAATCTGTACTTTGCCTTGTGTTGGTACTATTACTGTAAGTTTGTGTTCGATATTGACAGAAAACATTTGATGATTCTAACGTATAATAAAGCACATTAGCCGTACTATTGTATGTAGTATTTGTCCATGCTATTCAACGTAAGAGATGATGCATAAGCACATAGAAGTAAAACTCGCATTTTTGAACCTTCTCGTGTTCGCTTTCGTCAACTACTTCTTGAACGTCCGGTATCAAAAAAACAACTTTCCTGAAAGTGTCTGCTCATTCAAATATATCATTTCCTTTTTATTAAACAAATATATCAAAAATAGAAATGAATACACCCACATTTCATAAGCAACAAACACAAAAAAAGTTATTGAAAAGTTCCTGTTTTTCCGAATGTGTATTGCATTTAAATGAACAGAAAATAGCGAAAACAATAAGTGATAAAAACTCCCATTGAAATCTACATATTTATATGTTATATGTTCGTAAAAGTAATTGAAGTAAATAATAAATAATGAAAGAACTAAAATAGAATAACAAAATATCTACTATCCATTTCAAAATATAATTTGCTTCATAGTTTTTTTGAATAAGTTATCATAGGAACATCATAGAGATCTGCAATTTTCACCGTTCAAGTGAGAAGAATCAAGGCCATCGAAATAAATCGAAATCTGATCGATCAACAATTGACTAATTAGCTGAGTTCTTGATAGACACTTTCGAAAACGATATTCTGAATTTGAATCTCTTTCGACTCGACTTAGGCTTTTAACAGGACTAATTGATAAGGGAAAATGCTTCTCTTTCGAGCTACACAATGCCGACATTTCTAGCTTAAATCGTGTGAGAGTTCTAAAACTTTTTCTAAGACCCTCGATTTTTAGTGAACTGACCTATGATCATCAAGTAAAGCACCAAGGCATGAACACTTCGCCGTGCTGAGTCGAATAATGATATTTATTTTTAGCTTCGAAATGGTCTGACTGTTATCTCAATTTTTTTGAAATGTACATTCATTTGTTACATGGAGACTCACTGTGGAATTTCACAAAAATTAAGATAATAGTACCAGATCGTTTCAAACCTAAAAGCAAATATCACTATTGGACTGAGCACCATGAATCATTTTTGCCTCGTTGCTTTTCCAAGTGATCACAGGGCCATTGACTGAAATTAACGGTAAACAAAAATAGCCTTATAACTCTCGAATGTAGACAACTAACCATATCAGCCTTGTAAAGACTGAAAGGAAAGAATTTTTTCTATCTCTTAGTCCTACTAAAAGTATAAATCGAATTGATAATAGCTTCAGAATATTGTTTTCAAAGGTTTCGACCAGAAATTGATCTGATTGATCAATTGTTGATCGATCACAGTTTGATATACTTCGATGATGACAGATCTTCTCTCTTCCATGGCGAAAACCATAGATCTCTATGGTGTTCCTAGTAACATTTATTCAAAAAACAATGGATTACATTATCTTGTGAAGTGGATGATAGGTAGAGATAGAATAAAACTGAATTCCTTTTTGACATACTTAATATTGTCTAGAGTAATTTTAGTTCTGATTATGTTGTTGATCTTGGTATTATTATATTCGGATTAATTGCTTCTACGAAATCATCTTCCATATTATCATCATCTTTTATCATATCATCTAACATATCAGTAACGAATTCAATTTCATCAATATCATGTGAGTCCGAAAATAAACTGGCAGTTCCAGATGGGTTATTTATTAGATCACGAGGAAAACTATTTAATGTATCAGCTATACCAAGCATTTGTGTTTGTGGTATAGGACCACTTGGTAATGATGTATGTTGAATATCTTCATTTGTACGATAAATCGGATTGTAAGTTGTTATTGAATTAGATGAATGTGTATCAGATGCATCATTACTTTGTCCATCATTTATAATACGATTCAAATCATTAAGACAAATTGAATCTTTACTTGTAGTACCCATTGTTGGAGGATGAGCTCGAGGAATGGTAAACTGTCTATTATCTGTTGATTGTTTTGTTTCTCTAAAAACAAAAATTATTTAATCAAAATTCTTTTTTATTTTGTTAATTA